CTGCGTCGGATTTGGGGCAGGGCTCTGGATAGTGGAAAGTATATTCCGCCCCCCATCCGCTCCCCGATGTACTTAGCTAAAGGCGGGCTGAAGGAGCAACAGGCAGGACTCGGAGATTTGGAGCTGCACTTTCTTTCTTTTTATCCCACTCCCCTGCCCCGGTGTGTGTGCCATGTCATATGAAAGCCACAAGGTTGTACGCCAGTCGACAGACGACAGTCGCCATGACATTTCAAATTTACGGACTATGACAAAGTGAGTTAAATGCATTTTGAGAAGTACTCCCAGCCCATGGACAGATACACACACACTGGCACTGGTATATCCTGGAAGCTGAAAAGAAAATCCTCAACAAAAAACAAAAAATTGAAGGAAGAGGGCTGGAGAATCTTGGCTGCATCAGAAGCAGAAGCAATCTGCCCTTTTGATGTTGCCGCAGGACAAAGTTCCTGGCTCTCCCTCTCTCTTTACATATATTTAAAGATCATGTACTTACTAAAATTACAACGCATATAGAGAAACACACACACAAGTGTTTATGCACTTCGATTGCATGTCTTTGGGCACGATGCAGCTCCAATAACCGAGTTTCCAGGCACCCAAGCCACCCATCCTCCCATCCTCGCACTTCCTGGCACTCCAGCAAGTCCCGACACTCCCGCCGCTGCTTCTGCTGTTGTTATTTGCAAAAGTTATTCATACGCCACGTTGACAATAGTAGAAAATGCAATTTATGTTGGAAAAACATTGCGTAAGTGCATCTGAGGCGAAATTCAAGTAGCTGCTGCTAGCACCCCCAGTAGAGCACTGAAGACAACGCCAGACACACTGAAAAGCAGTGGTAGTCCCCAGGGGGTCAGTAACCCTTTCCATAAGAACTATAACTCTTTTAAAATTATGAATTATGATTTAAAGTAAAGGCAGTTAGGCACCCATTCTTTCAAACCTAAACCATAAAGATCACATCCTTTAGTAAGATCTTTAGTAATCCCCCCCTTGGAAATATAAATATCAACGCCACTGATAGGAGGCACATGCACATGCTGAGGCTCAGACCCAGGCTCAGGCGGTGGCAGGCAGTCATGTAAAAGCGTTGCCATATAAAACATCTAGAAATTCCAATAAAATTTTCATGCAATTTTCCTCACACCGCCTTCACATGCAGAGTGAGCTGTACACCCTTCCTAGCCTTCTACTCACCCAGCCCTTTGGCCCTCTTGCCCCTTGTTCTTGGCCAACTCATGGCTTATTCCGCCTTCTCGGCCCTCGCCTTTGGCACTCAACCTGAAGCTTTCTCTTTTCTCTCGACCATCGAGCATGTGTGTTTGTGGCAAATGCATATCTTAGACACTCAATAAGTAAAATAAACAATGCCAAGAAAGTGCCAAAATCAATTGGCTTTCTAAATGTCAGTCTTGGCCAAAGTGCACTCATGTTTCGAGTCCTTCCCCCCGATGGCCAAACCAACTGGGCCAAGGCCAGATAATAGGAGCTTTCCTATTTAAATTCAAACACTCCAATTCCAGCAGTAAATAACCAATTAATTGTGGTTCAGTTAACCCCTGACCTCCGAAAAGCTGATGCAGATTGATGAAACATCAAATAAATTGTAATTTATTCAACCATTTGTGTTACTTTTTATGCGTTCGGCAAATATCGCACAAAACTGGAAAATTCCAACCTTTTGATGTTGGATGCTGCCATATTAAGATTTGGGCATAAAGTTGATTGAAGCGGCCAGTGAACTGTTGGCCAGGCCAATTTAGCAACGCTTAGCCACACGATAGATGGATGAGGAGGAGCTTGTGGCGAAAGGGGGCGGCACAAATTTCATTGGACGTGGCGAAAAATTTCATTTAAAATATATTTTGCACACATCACGAGTGCGGCAGGCTGCAAGTGTAATTTATGCGTCTTCTCACACTCACACACACACACAGAGTTTTGGGCGAAAATGTGTAATGTTGACCCGATGCCAGGGCTGTCAGCTTGCTGCTCCTAGCTGCTGGATGGGATGTCCTGCCAGCTAGCCATCCAGCCATCCAGCCAGCCAGCCATTGCTCGACGCTTTTCATTTTTCTGTTTTGGGCTAAAATACCAAATTACGACATAAATAATGCATAGATAACGAAATTTATTACATTTCATGTATCAGGCAGGCAGGCTGGCTGGCTGGCAGGCCGGCTGCTAGTCGGACAGAGGCGGACAAGCGGACAAACGGACAGTTGGGGCGAAAGTCCGGGCAAAAGTCCGGGTCCACGTCCGGGCAAAAGTTTCACATCAAACCGGCAAGGCTCCTGCTGGAGCTGGGAACTGGTGACTGGGAACTGGAAATTGTTTGAACGGGGACACTGTCGTCCTGGGCGTCGCCTTCTTAATTTATGGCTCGTGTTAGTTTCCCTGATTTGCGCAGCAAAAGTTTATTGAAGCATTCTATTATTCCAGCACCAGCTCCAGGTCCAGTGTTGCAATTTCAAAACGCAATAATCGTTCTCCGAAAATTCATACTCGCCATAAATTCAAATTTCAATCAAATCGTTTTTTGACCAGTTTTTCCCACCCAAGTCCTTTCTCACGAGTTCCTGCGCTTGTTTATGCAATAAAAATTAAGTTAACAGAAAATGCGCCAAAAACAAAAAAAATGGAAAGAAAATGAAAATAATGTAAAACTTTTTGTGGTTTTGAGCTTGGCAGGCGTCAGCTTCGCTTGACGTGGATGCTTGGATGCGGACGCAAACGCGGATGTGGATGCGGATGCGGATGTCTTGCTCATATCGCAGCCAGTTGCTTATAATTGCATTTGCATATTATTTCCCTTTTATTGCACATGTCGCCCGACTTGACATGCCATCACTTTTGGGGGCGAAGCGAACTAGCGGAAACCCTTAAACCATTTATATATTTTTTCCTCTCCTTCCGAGCTCTTGGCTCTTCTCGGGCTTGGACTGCCATTTTTATTTCAGCGAAATGTTTATAAAATGCCAGCACGCTTCCGGCAGCAACAAAAAGAATAAAAAAAAAAAATAAATGGAAAATAAAGAGTTAAAAGTTAAGCGTTGCTGTTAACAAAAAAAAAATAAAACACAGCGCATAATACCAAAATAATTTGCATATAAATTATGATTGAAGGCGCCAGAGCCAAAAGGTGTCGGGAAAAATGAATACTGAAGGGGTCTTAGCCTGGTTTCGATCTTAATAAATTGTGATGGCTGGCCATCTAGGGGTTAGTGAACTGGCCATATGAATATCTGGTAGAAGTAATAAATAGTTTGGTGATTTACTCCATCCTTTGGAGTTGTATACTACCCTTTTAAACCCTCGCTTCTCTTAGTGTACCTTTTAAATCTTGTAGCAACAGTTGCACGTAAATTTAGAGTCAGTGTCTCGGCAATATCCTGCACACTTGTCAGCAACATCTCAACCCATCTCACCGACAATCCTTGTCGGCAGGTAAACAATTCTAATGCATATGCTTTTTGGTCGGGCATTCGAGATGGGATGGGATGGATGGGGGAAGGATACGGGGCTGCACTTCCGGCACGCATGAGATGGCGGACTTACGTCACAGATCGTCAGCATCAAGAATCGGTAGATGGGCGGGTGAATAAATGGTGCACGTGTTTCCCTTTTCAGAGTCTCGGAATCAAATCTGAAATGAATTTACCTTTGTTGATTTGCGACGGCTTTTGCATTTTGGCTTATTACATACAGACTAACATGCTCAGACTGAGACCCAAAACTCAGGGCAAAACTGAGCAAAACGAAGACACTAACGTGGCTTGTTGATTTGCCGGCAAACCCCTAGCGATTGCTTGCCAGGATTCCGGAATGAGCTCAAGACAAATGTAAATATTTTTTAGTGCTCACTCAACGAAATGGGACTGGGAAAAGGGAAAGGACAAAAAGGGGCTGGGCTCTGGGTCTTATGATGGATGATTGTGTGCTTCCTGTAGATTTGTAGCCGCCGATAAACTCAATTTGTTTGCGCTTTAGTGGATGGGGCGGATGGCATGGCATGAGCTCGCATTACGCATACGCCGTGTGTGCCGGGCAACGCAACTCGATTTGCCATTCGAAGACGCTTCTGATTGTCAAAGTTTTTAAAGCCGATACTTACGCTAGTGTCTTCTCAACAACTTGTCGTGAAGAATTTATTTTCAATTTGATGAGAACTTGGCTTTTTGTCGCCCATTTCGCTTTTCATGTCTCTAGCGATTGCGATGAGTGTGTGTTTTGTCTTATTTTCTTTTAGTTTTATTAAGACAGTTGCCCCAAGAATTCTCCTTTTTTTACGACTCTCCAATGACTTATAGTCTCGGGGAACGATGAGCCATATACTTTCAACTTATTTCCCAATTATTGTTTATACTTTACACTACACTATTCAAAATTCGTTTTCTTTACGGCCATCCACAAAAAACGAAATGCCAGTACTGCAAGCCAGGAAGGGGAATTTAATTGCTTTATTCGCACTAGAGGATGGAACAGTGCTCTCGCAAAATTATTAAATGCTATTTATCACTCAGGCGACAACGGAAATGTGTCTCTGACACTTACAAGAATCCCAAAGGATCGCAAGGAGGTAAGGAGGCATGTGCAGCTGCTAAGGAAATTGGCAGCATCTGGGAAAAAAAATTGCACTCGAGGAAATTAAAAGTTGCATTTGAAATGCCATGCACGAGCGTAAAAACTAATATCCGCCCATAGGTTCATTGTTATAATTCCTTGGACTAAGAAAAGGACTCGGAATAAAGGATTTCTTTATTAAAATTTTATTTATAAGACAATAAAAAAAAAACAAACACAAGCACAATTATATTCTCAACCTTAGACTATGCCACAACATTGTGAGTGCAGTCGCAGATACTGCCAAAAAGTAGGCAAAGATACACAACTAACTGCTAGATACATGTACTACAGCCATGTAAAATTCATGTAAGCTATTTGTTAATGACACAAGATGGATTATATGTATACAGGATCGATAATCCGGCCTGTCCCTAGACGTACAGGACGAACAGGGCGGCAATGGCTGCCATGAAGGACAGGAAAGTCGACAAGTAGAGTACGGCACAGGTGGTTTCCATCCAGGAGATGAGAGGTCCTACGGAGAGGGACACAATCAGCTGGGCAATAAACACCATGCTGCTGATGATGGCCACATCGGTTCCCAAGCCACGAGCCTGCTTCAAAGGCACTGTTTCACCATTTTTCACAGCAAACTGTTTGGGGAAAAATATTTATTAAAAATATTATTGTATAGAATTCAGTTTTTTTATAACTTACGCAATTTTTGGCATGATAGTTGGCCACTAGAATAAAGGGCACTGTGAAGATGGTTCCATAGAGTATTCCCGCAGAGGTACTGAATACTAGAACACCCCACTTGGTGGGCCACAAGCCGAGAACCAGCATTCCAATTCCATAGTAAATCATGCCACTAATGTAGACAGCCTTGGTTCTGAAATGGATTGAGGAAATAATATTCAAGACTCGTAAAAACAATCATTTTTGTATTTTTAATGTAATTTTAATGATTTTAGATTGTGTTTTAATCTATAGCTTGCTTTAATTGCTTACTAGTTAACGACAAGCTTTATCAAAAAACGGAAATAAAGGTCTAGCAAAAGTACTTGTAAACTCACCCAAACCACTTCATCAACTTGGTGACGGAGAGGGAGTATATCGAACAGGAAAATGCATAAATGGACATGCCCCAGCATCCGAAACGGACTCCGGCCTCGTAGTTGAGAGCCGCCTCCGAGCCGGGAGCTGCTGTCGGATCACCGTGGAACACTGCCTCGCCCACAAAGTCCGTGAAGTAGAGGCAGTAGGTGACGTGACCCATCCAGCAGAAGAGATTCGTCAGGGCCAGCATCCGCATGGAGTAGGGCATAATGAAGATGCTCTTAAGATAGGCCTTCAGGCTGACAGGAGCATCCATTTCTGAGTCCGACTGGGTCTCCACATCCTGGGCCTTGTTCTGCTTCTCCAGGGCCGGAGAGTACCCATTCTGGTAACTGCCCTGCAGGGCCTCCATCTTCTTAGGGTCATCATTGGCCATTTGCAGCTCCAACTGTGTGGTCTCTTGGATGTAAAAGATGGCATTGTTGTTTTTCTTCAGCTCCTTCTTGATGGCCTTCTCGGAGAGTGGCCGCAGCAGTTCGTCCTTTTCAATTAGAGGCAAGGGGATCTCCCGGAAAGTGGTCACCGTGATTAGGTAGCATATCACAAAAATAATGGTAACCAAGGTGAAGACAGTGGGAACGTTTCCTCCCATAAAGGTGCCGATGTGGGTCGTCTCCCAGTCCACGCCTCCGATGGCATAGCCGATGGTGCCTCCAAAGCCAGCGAAGAGGGCAAACATGGTCATGGCCTTGGGCTGCTCCTCGGGCACACACATGTCCAGGAGATAGGTGCGAGCTGGGGTTTGGCAGGTATCCGCATCAAAGTCCAGCAGCACCATGCCCAGGATCGTAAGGATAACCGCAAACTTGAAGTCCGAGGCCTTGGGTCCACTGGTGGCTTCTTCCGAAACCAGAGCAGCCACTGATCCGTCTCCGGCAAAGGATATATTTAAGGCAGCCGCATCAGCATAGCTGTAGCCAGCATCGCCCAGCAATAGTCCCAGATCCTTGCCGTAGGGAACCAATATCAGGCCGCACAGGATTCCAAAGGATAAAATCGATATAATAGGACGTCGGCGGCCCCACTTAAGTTTGCAGCGATCACTGATGCTGCCCAGCAGTGGCGACACAAAGAATCCAATCAGCGGCGACAGGCCCCAGGTCATGGACATATGCTTGTGGTCCACGCCGATCTGCAGCAGGATGGGAGACACAAAGCTTGTCTCCGCCGCATAGGCAAACTCAATGGCCATGGCAATGGCCGAGAGCCGGAACATCTCGAAGCGGGTCTTCCGGCGGAAGACGTGCGAATAGTCCTGCTCCTGCTCGCTGGCATGGTTCTCGCGGGTCTTCAGCATGTACTTGATCATCGGGTTCTTGGCCGAGGACAGCTGGTCTGCCTTCGAGGCATCGGCCGTGACTCCAACCATATTGATTCAAGGTTTTTTTGGTTCTGAAATGGAAATAAGGGGTCTTAGTTTAATAAAAATCTTATACTGTTTCAAATACTTCTTTAAGATTATTTTCGGTGAGGAACTAAATGAATGCCATGCTTTTTGGATTTCTTATTAATGCCTAATTAGGCACATGTGATGTAGTCATATATTTCCTATCTCAATCTTTAATAACCAGATGAAAAAATGCAATAAGAACGCAATCCGTGATGTTTTCCCATGTCAAGTAGGGCTCGGCGAGACATTGAACCGATTAAACTAGAAACATCTGGTGCGGCACGTCGAAGAAGCGCCAAAGATCTCTGATTAATTGAGCTGGGGCGATCGGTGCAGGGGCAGAATATATATGAATATGAATTTCAATTTCAATTCAATTGCACTGATGCTCTCGATTTGTGTCACTTGCGACACACAAAGTGCGAACCCTGAACAGAGGCTATTTGTTTACAAACAAATTCAATCACTTCGGGGGAAGAAAAACGAAAGTGAATTGTGTGACTCGCTTGGCTTATCGCTGGTTTGGCGAAATCGAAACTCAGGCAGGAATGAGTTCACAGACCCGAAATTCCCATTAAAACATAGTCTGGAGAATATGGGACCATAAAAGAAAATTCCATTCTTTTTTAAATTAGATTAGGCTTAGATGGGGCCACTTACTTTAGATCTTAGTTAACTAATATCACAATTTACAAAGTCAGTCACCAGGTAGTTGATATATATCACTTGATTAATTTCACTTCTGTTTGAATTTAACAATTAGCCACATTTTCGAGTTACTGCGAAGAAACACTTTTGCCAATTTAGGGTTCAAGCGGATTATATTGGGTTCAATTGTATCTTTTGTGGCGATCAGCAAATAGTTTTATGTCCGACACGAAAACTTTCCAGCAACCAAATCGTCGCGTGTCCAAATCGCAACTGCGACTGGGTCTCAAAATCGCCTCTAGAGTAGTGTCTCTGGGTTTCTCTACCGTATCTCAAGACTCAAGACCCGAGTCTGTCTCGTCCGAGTGCCGTCTTTGAGCCATTGACCAAATCTCGTTATCTGCCGCAACAACAAGAATAATAATAAATTAACAATAAAAGCGGCGAATAAATTTAAAATACAAAACATCTAATTTGTACGCCGGCGGCTCGAGTGTCATTTAATTGAGACAAGTTGCGGGTCATTTATGTGGGCGGAATCCTACAGATGGAAAATATCGTAAACCACCTATATATTTTCCTGTAATTTTGGGCCGAAAGATTTGGCCAAGGGTTAGATGACCGGCAGTTTTTGGCCTGAATATGCATGAGTGTTCGCAGAAGCACGGGGTCCGTAATCAGAAATCGGCTCAGACTAGGTCAATAAATGTATAAATAAACACCAACCGAACATCAGGCACATCAACAAAAAAAAAACTCAAACTCAAATCAAGAAATCAAGAAACTTTTCAAATTAATTAAGTCGCCGCTTGGCATTAATTGGTTGTTACTATTAGGAAGTCACTTGATAAGCGCTCGTCTGTTGACAACTCTTGACGTCTTTTTTGAGTGAATCATTCTTTGGGGGGGATTGGGGTCAAGGTTATTATGGGGATCCCACTTTGATTAGGCCTAGGAGGAAGTAGTTTGCATTCCACTCCCCGTTAGCCCATCAAAATGCAAAATTCACACGTCTTTCGAGCTGAATTCCATTGTTGTTTGGCGATTAAACAGTTTTGCAATTAAGTTTGTACTGTTTATGCATATTGCTTTATTGTGGGGGGTGTGAACCGGCTGTGGCAGATGATACCCTATCCATCAGTTGGGCCTAACATATAGGCAGTTTAATTAAACATCCATTGGAGTGTAATTGATCCTCTTATTGTGAGCAGGCATGAACCGTGTTATTAGCTTAATTATGGGATCGAATTCACAAGAAATTGTTAAAACAAAGGGAGTTTAAGTGCTAACTTAAGTATTTAATACCATTATCTTTGGAAAGCAAGACTCACCTGGTTGTTGCCTAAAATCCTTTGATCCTCCAACAGCTCACGCTCTCTCACCAAAGCAAAGGTTCTTATGTTTTTGAAATATTTTAGTTTAATATTTGATTTATTTACGTTTCTGTTTTATTGATTTATTACGATCACTGTCACTGTTCTGAATTAGTTTACTCACTTCTAGGGATATGCTTTAGTGTCAATAAATTATACTCCGTTAAAGTTTTTCTCTTGCACAGATTGTTGAACATAAAATAGATTTCGATTTTTTTCAACTTTAATTGTTTCTGTTTTTGTTGCTTTGAGCGAGAGTGGGCGTGGCTGTTGTGGGCGGGCGGCGGTAACGAATTCACTCTCATAACTTTACCCATCCAGTTGGTGCTGGCGAAAGGCTAACGAAATCAATTTTCGAACCTCGGTCGAATGTTTGTTTGTCCCGAAAAAGTTGTTCCACTCTTGTCCAATGACTTTGTGTGACTTTTAATACGTTTCTTTTTTTCAAGATTTTTGTTTTTTATATTTTTGTGTTGAAATATTTTCACTATCTCTACTCTACCGCCGATGGCTTTGTTTTTCACTGAACTTTTCGCGTTAAATTGCTGACATTGCCGCTTTATGAATACGGCGGCAGCTGTTTACTCCGTTGGCCTTAACGCTGCGAAGATTTTGGCAAGACATGAAAGATATATTTTAATTTTTTGGGCTGACAATTTTCCTGGCTAGCCAACAACGCAATTTCCACGCAACGACACGGTGTCACTTTATCGATACGATCTGCACCAAATGGAAAATTAATTTTCAGTTTTTTTCGTTTTATTTTGGCAGAGATTTGTTGGTTTTTTACGGATGCTTCGGTGACTTTGGTTTATTTTTGGACTACTGCTACCCCACACGTCTGCGTACGACTGGCTGGGATAATGATGATGATCTGGGTCTGGTCTAGCGCGGTCTGCGACTGAATATTGTGCCTGCGAACGCACCAATTTATATAGCATCCATATGTGGCGGCGGGAGCGAATTTTGTATTCCCAGTGCGACTCTCTTTCGGGTCTATCGCCCCCCGCGCCCCACTGCACGCCATCTCTTTCTCGACTAGATGCCCTCTCTCTTTCGCTGCGATCGAAGTCTTATCGCGAGTCCGGTTGGGCCTTTCTTTGTCTTAGGACCAGCAGCCACACGGAGAGAAATGGTTCTATCAAAATTTACATAAATCATAAATCATCAAGATGAAGTGGAAAATAACTTAAGGTTCTAGAAACTCAAACTTATTTTGTTCTCTGCATTTAAAATATTTCTATTTATGTTAATGGTGATGGTATCTATACCTTAACTTATTCCCATTGCAATTAAATTTCATCATTACTATATAATTATTAATTAGCATTATAAATATTTCCTGGTTGTGGGCCAATGTTTTTAACCATGTAACATGTGGTAGTCAGAAGTGGCCTGCAGATTCTGAGCCACCTGAGGCCCAGCTGAGCCCCAGCATGATCACCTGGAATTCAGGCAACAGGGAGCACAGATGAAACTAGTTTCCCAGGCGACGACAGGTTTCAAAAACATGGGCACTGGCTGTCGAGGCTGTGGAGGTTGGATATTGGCTAATACAGAAGGTAATACAGTAGGTTCGGTATGTGCACAGTGATACCCGAGTGATTTTCCGAGGGTGGAACCAAATCCTAGATTACACTATGGGAAATTCCACTTCATTTCGAGTGCTGATTCTCGAGATTATTTATTTAGCTCTTGGCCTTATCATGTCTTGGGCGTGGACGGGCAGTAGCTATCAAATCTCAGTCGGGCGCGACACTTGAATTATTCATATCACCGTAAATAATTGCCAATAATATTTAATAATCTATTATTGGTCACATGAGTTAGACCCTATGTCTGGCTTCTCATGCAGACATGCTCTATAATTACCTCCAAGGACGCTCTCATAAATGCATACGTACTTTAAGTAGAAACAAATCAAACTATGAGATAACACCTTCAGTATCTCACCTCATATTTGATAATATTTGATCTATCATTTAGAATCTATTACCAGATGGAATCGTTTCGGTTCCAGTTGATTTCCAGCCACCTGAGCGTGAGTGGCTTATCTTGCCACTTCAGAGGCAGAGACAACAAATAGATATTCATAGCCAGATATACACATACGCATGTATCTTTGGGAGATATCAGAGAACAATATCCAGGCAACTAACATAAAATAGATATTAGAATATAGAACAAGCCGGTTGTTTGATGGCTTTTGTTCCGACTCCCGTACATTTCAAACTTTCCGTCTCGTTTTCGGCCTCATCAACATGCTAAATTATTCGCCAGAGGAATGACACACAACTTTTTTTTGCCCGCCCCAGACATTTCTTGTTTTTATTGTTCATATGCCGGCAACATGGCAGAGATTCTCGGATTCTCGGATTTTGAGGAGGGCTGTGTTTGTATTAGCTCGCCTTGTGTGTTTGACGGGGAAGTTGACACGAACTATTAGCGGAAATTCGCTACTTTTGCCGCCAACAAGATCTCCAACTGAGGCATCAAATAAAGCGCTGCGAATTATGTAAAAAATAAGTGGTTAGGCCCAGTCGGGTAATGTGGTTATCAAAACCGCCGAGCGGTGGTGGTTTTAGGCCAATGACTTGGCCAACTCCCCCTCTTATTGGGGACATGGATGGAAAAAAATAACAATACCAGTTTAATCAACAAAAAGCTCTATCATATCTGAAAGGGAATAACCATGTAGTATTGATTTTCTATACAAAGATAATAGCTTTTCCATAGAAATTTTGTAATATCTATGGTTATTAGTAATGCAATTTAATATACCCTATTTTAATTTCTGTAAACAATTATTATACATCTCTGATAACCTTAGCTGTTTGTTTGCAATGCGCTGGATGAGTTTAATGTTTATACTTGCAGAAAGTCGTGCCAATTTGATAGCACAAAGCCCGTTATATTGCTCTCAAGGTTATCATTTTGCTGGGATCTTCGATAAGCGCTGACGAAACTTCCAACCTTTTTGATTCTAATCTCCATAAATCTTTCTGTTTGGCTTATATTTAAAACGATGAAAGTACACAGCAACGGATGCGCATAAATAAAGAGTTATACACTCCAGATAAGCAACAAAATAACCCAATAGACGACGGTATAAGCCTAAATAAATTTAAGGGGCTTAAGCGATCTCTGTTTATAAGTGTTTATTTATGAAATCGTTTAAATATCCGTTATGACATTGCTACTAAGTTGATCGTAAACATGGGTGCGTTTCATTTCTTTCACCTTTTGAGAGCTTTCTAAGCGAATGCCTAAAAGTAGGCAAGGGTTTTCGAGAAACTTCAATAAATAAATCAAAATTCGCAAATCGATAAAAATATTTTTTATAATATTTAATTATTTTTTTGTTTCCCCATTAAAGGGCCTTGAACTTCGTCTGGAGGTATATTACCAATCAATTAGGTTGTTTGAAAGTAAACAAGGCTAAAAATTCATTTTAATTAAGCACTTAAAGCGGACAAATCAAAGAATTGGAACCGTTCAAATCCGCTTTGCTGGTCAATCAGTTAAATTAAAGATGCGCCAGCACTGAAAAAAAAGGTGATAATAAAAAAATACCCTTCTAATAACCTGATAGTAAAATATTTGAGTCAAGCAAAGAGAATATTTTTCTCTCAAACCTAGATCATACATAAGTTTTCAGTGTCGCTACTCTCTTGAGCCAAGTCGGGCTCGGCCTGGGAGGGTTCTATAAAAGGGGTAATGGATCCCTTGATTCTCTCCAGACAGTTGTATCCAAGCCGAGGCGGTGGACAGTTCGGAATAAAAAAACATAACTAGCAGGGCCTGATAAAGGGCAGCTTAAAGTGGATATAGGAAGAAACGGTGCCCAGTCGGTGGTGCTTTATTTCATTTGTTTCTGATTTGTTTTTAATCCCAAATTTGTGCAAAAATTGCAAAAAACAGTGTAAAAGTGGATTATTCTATCAAACTTGGTTAAATTTTTATTTAAACTATTGGTTTTGTTTATTATAAATATTGTGCTTTTGTGTCCATGGTGCCGATTGATAACATTTTACAAAATCACGTCTATCTTATCCACGTCAAGAGATACTTGAAAGGTATGGATTTTATTTCAATTGTATATATATTAATAATAATTATATAATTTTTCAATAAAAATACATTAAAGTTACATAGCTTTTTAAAATGAAATTAAATCTCTAGAAACCTTAAATAAATTAAAGGTTAGTGCCTTGGAAAACAATTGTTTCAATCAATTGGATAAACCTCTATTGCATATAGAAATCACTATAAATTATTGCATCAGCCGGAAAATTGATCGAAATATGTATACAGCTCCTCCAGCTGGAGAGGAGTGGACTCGAGCCGGTTTCCCCGGCAAATCAGCGTTTTCGATTTCAAAATAATTCGAAGCGCCATTGACGCCAATTTGAATGCGAATTCGAGAAGCGTCTGAGAATTTGCGCCGCTAGGCCGCCAATGTTTTGATTCCCCAACTTGACTCTCTTTTTTCTTTCCATAGCAACGCACTACGATGAAAGATTTGAAAGCAGAGACCCCAGCGAACGGAAACCTCTCGAAACTGGAGACCAGCAGGGTGAGTTCTCTAAACACCTTCTAAGAATATTCGAAGGAATCATGTTATTATTTTTGTCAGTGTGGCAGCAGTGGGGAGGCGCTGCTAAAGCCATCCACGCCGCCCACGGTCTTGGAATTGTCTGAACTGTCGCCGGACCAGAAGGCCAGAGACAATTGGGGCAGCTCCTTGGAGTTTCTGATGTCCTGCATCGCCCTAAGCGTGGGATTAGGTAACGTGTGGAGATTCCCGTTTACGGCCCTGGAGAATGGAGGTGGTGCCTTTCTGATCCCCTACCTGATCGTTCTGTTTGTGGTGGGGAAGCCGATTTATTACATGGAGATGCTCCTGGGCCAGTTCTCGAGCCGTGGCATTGTGCAGGTCTTTGATTTTGCGCCGCTTATGAGAGGTGAGTCTCCAGGCTACACGATTTGGATAGGTTACTTACGTCTTGGCATTACAGGTGTGGGTTACTCTCAGCTCTTGGCCCTTGGCGTTCTGGCCACGTACTATGCCTCTGTAATGGCTCTAACCCTGCGCTACTTCTTCGACTCCTTTGCGGCGGAGCTGCCCTGGAGCTACTGCCGCCCGGAATGGGGAGATGGCTGTGTGGGTGCCGCCGCCACCGGAGAAGGTCTTCAAGGATCCCTGTCTAAAAATTTCAGCTCATCGAGCCAGCTCTACCTGCAGCGTATTGTGTTGAATGAGACCAGCTCCCTGGAAACAGATGGAATCGGCTATCCCAGTAGCAGCTTGACCCTAATGCTGGCTCTGTCCTGGCTGACAGTAACCCTGATCATCATCAGAGGCGTCAAGAGCTCCGGCAAAGCAGCCTATGTCCTAGCCCTATTCCCCTACGTGGTCATGTTCATCCTGCTGATCAGAGCCGTGACTTTGCCGGGCGCCTATGATGGCGTCATGTACTTTCTGACTCCCCAATGGGACAAGTTACTGGAACCAGTGGTGTGGTACAATGCCGTGACCCAGGTCTTCTTCTCCTTGGCCGTGTGCTTCGGAGTGATCATCATGTACTCCTCGTACAACCGATTCGGACACAATGTCTACCGCGATGCCAATATTGTTACGACCTTGGATACCTTTACCTCCCTGCTCTCGGGAGTGATCATTTTCGGCATCCTGGGCAACCTGGCACACGAGTCCGGCACCAAGGACATTGCCAGCGTAGTGAAGGCTGGTCCTGGCCTGGCTTTCATCTCCTACCCCGAGGCCATTGCCAAGTTCAAGGTGATGCCGCAGATTTTTTCGCTGCTCTTCTTCGCCATGCTCTTCATGCTGGGCGTGGGCAGCAACGTGGGCATGGTCAGCTGTATTATGACGGTTCTGAAGGATCAGTTTGTCAACCTCAAGCTCTGGATAATAGTGGTGTGTCTCTCCGTGATCGGGTTCCTGGTGGGTCTGGTCTACATCACGCCCGGAGGGCAGCACATCATCACCCTGCTGGATTTCCATGGAGTTACTTTTGTTTCCCTGGTGTCGGCCATCTTTGAGCTGATTGCCGTGGGATGGATTTATGGTAAGAAGACTTTACCCTTTTTTATTGTTTATTTATTTTGGATTAATAGAGTTCCAATTGAAACCCTTTTAGAGTCTCATTTTTCTTGAGAGTATAGTTTGTTTTCATTAAACGATTGTTGTAATTAAAACTGGAATTATTCGGTTATAGCTGGTTGAAACCGGATGAGGCTTTTAAGAAATGAAAACAATCAGAAACCTTATATGTAGTATAGACTGAATAATAACTTATTTTTGTTTATTAAAAAGGCACTAAACGTCTTTGCCAAGATGCTGAGTACATGCTGAACATCAAGACCTCAAAATACTACCGCATTTGCTGGTCGATTGTAACTCCAATGGTAATGGTGGTGATTTTGGTCTATACTTTGCTGACAATGCGTCCTTTAAGCTACAATGGCCAAGAGTTTCCACTGCCTTATAGAGGTGTGCTATACCTCTTATTTCTTAGCCACAATCTGACCATTACTTCCCTTAGTTTTCGGCTGGTGTGTCTCTGGAGTTATCATTGGGCAGCTGTTCTACTGGGCCTGTCACGCCAACTACAAGCAGCCAAAGGGTTCGTTGAAGTGCCGTATTAGCAACTCGGCCAAGCCACATGCAGATTGGGGACCTCTGGACTTGAAGCAACTAATGGACTACCAAATGTTCCTCCGTAACAAGGACGATACCAACGCCCGAGGACTCAAACATCGCTGCCTCTGCTACACAGTCGGAGATAGAATCTTCGGCTGAGCAGATATTTTATGTAACCATCCTATATATGTCATATTATGTTGCGTAGTTTCATTTTATTTTATTTCAATTTTTTTTTCTCGCATTTAATATATTTATATTGATTTTATTTATTCAAAATAGAGAATGAAATCAAACAAAAATCAATTATCTCGAAAGTTTACTTTAAAACTAGGCTGGCAAGATGGCCGGATGAAAGTTTCCATTTTTCATTTTTAGGGAGTTAGTATCCTTTTGTTATTTCATTTCGGCAGACGGTAGACGGCAACAAATTGGTTCGACTGGCCAACAAGGTAAGACAATCCGCATGTGAGCCAAAACTTTATCTAAGCAATTTTCAATATTTAAAACTAACAATTAGCAAGACAGCACTTGCCAGCTCCGTCTCCTGGCGTCTCTTTCAGCAACTGAATAGACATTTATTTGAGTTTCAATTTGTTGTGCAAGTTTCACACACTTTGCATAGAGTTTTTGCCCGAAGACCATGTCCGTCCATAGTGGCATGGTGGCATCTTCATTCGCCTGTTTTGTTTGCGGCAGTTGAAAATTAATATGTCGGTTCTCTGGACCTGCAAATGTCTTAATTAAAAGTTATTTTTCCCATACGTTATACAAGCCATTATTTTTTTTGTTTGTTCTGTGTGGCAAACGCAACAAATTGCGTTTTAGGGAATGCACATAAAGTTGTCAAGGACAGGCCAGTCATCCAGCTATCCAGTCAGTCAGTCTGTTAGTCAGTTGGTCTGACATTTCATTTGTCGTCATTGCTGACAAGAGCATTAAGTATACGCCGTGTGGACGGCTGTGGAAAGATTTCATGGCACGGATAAAGAGAGAATGAGCTACTCCAGAGACAACGGCGAGGAAATTAAAAAAGTTACCCTGTAAATGGCTCACGCTCTGATTTCATTGCAAAAGGTGCAAGAAACAATATCAACAAGGAAAAAAACTTGCAAACAACAAGCAACTAACAAGCATTGAAGTTTAATAAAATCCTTCTTAAAGGACTACCCACTACCTCCCACAGCCCAGACTCATTCCCAGTGAAGCACCTCGGTGTCAGCTCCGGCTGCAGCTAATGAAATAACTTTGTGGCAACTTTTCCTTGCCGGAATTTGCTTAAAGCACAAATAAAATAAAATTGCCAAGATTGCAGCTCTCCGCGCAATCAAAGGCGTTCGAAATATTTAAACAGAGTCGGGTAAAAAAACTTTAGTTTTAAGCTTAAGTGCTGCCGCGCAAATCATTTACAATAAGCGGAAATAATTTCTCCCAAAATCCCCACTTCAGAGGGGGGTAGGAGTTGGATGGGTGGCTTGGTTTGTATAATTCGTTGGTGGTGCGGTGATGCACGCAACCGAAAAAGAGAAAACAATTGAGGGCAATTTATTAAACGGGTGCACGGCTTGCAGCGGACAGTTGGTGGAGTTTTTGGTTGCTTCAGGGATCGGGAGGGTAAATCGGATCAACAAGGATACCAAAAATACAAAAAAAAAAAACAACAAAAACCTCACAAAAGGAGAACATGAAACGCGGGAAAATAGAGCAATCGGGAAATGCTTTAAACTTTCATTTTCACAGACTATCAATTATGGAAATTTTTATAGAATGCAATTAAATTTTAACCGCCATGCCTGGGTTAGATGACTGAGCTTTGAACGATGATGGTTGCGGCTTGTTTTCCACTAATTATTGGATATATGTATGTACATAAAAGGAATTCTAAAAATGGTAGGGGTTTCACTAAGAGCTTTTTTAGTTTTTGTGGAAAATATTTCATAAATGGATAGTTGATTATTGAACGTGGCAGGCATCCAAACATAACTGCTCTGTTTGATTTTCCTCTAAAATATTTCACATTCTAAATTAAAGCTGTTGGCATTTTAAAGGCTTCATCCGGTTTTACTTTGGCGGCAAACAAATGCCGCGGTGGGGCAAGGCAGGCAGGACCTGGAATGGATGCAGTCGGCAGGAGTGCGAAAGCTGCTCGTCATGCGTGCTGGCAGCGGGAATCGTTCTGTGACGTTTTCAGCGTTTTTGTTTTGCACTCTGCCCCCCAGGCCCTCAGCCTCCCAGTCGCTGTCCTGCCACTGCCAGGACCTCCGCCATGTTTTCCTCCATTTTCCGGCATCTCCATCGCAGACAGCGTCTGCCTGGGTACGTGAGCCGCTTGAGTGATTCACCTGCTCGCCACCATTTGCATTTTGCATGCTGGAGCAGCAACTGACTCCTGGCTCCCGGCTTCTGACTCCTGGGTCCTACCGGGTGCCTTGGTCCTGGCTGTTAGCTGCGCTGCTGGTAATGGCTGTGACAAGCATTAGGGAATTATTTTAGAGACCTCGCATGTGGCGGCCATTAAAGGACCTCGGGCTGAGCCTGACGATTTGATTTGTAGGCCACACACCTTGGGGGCGAAAAAAAAATGGAAAGGAAAAATAGAGCAATCCTGGAACTATCCGCAAAGAAAGCCAATGCCAAAGTCGTCAGATCTGCTGGGCGAAAAAAAAAGGAAAACCTGCACCTTTTATTGTAATCTGCATTTAAGTGGCTTTCTTTTGTGCTCCTTTCTGGTAAATTCTGGGATGGAGAATTTAGTATTTCTCCCATCTTTTTTTGCACCTCAACTTTTTTGCGCTTTGCACCTTCCAATTTGGCGCACTTTTCTTGGCGACCATTGGCAGCAATTTTTCGGCTAACTGCCGCTCGTTTGAAATGCTAATATGCAACTTTGACGCGATTGCCAGGACGCCGTTTGGCGTTTGCCATTTCGACATTTGGCCATTTTCAGCCATTTTTGGCCAATGCCATTGCCATTTGCCGTGTGCTATGTCCTGGGTGCTGTATTCTCTGTGCTGTCTGCTGGGTGTGCTGTGTGCCGGCAATTGCCAGACAATTTTATTTTCGCTACGCTCATGGGACAAGAGATAAGGGCCGGATGCAATTTTACCCACCAGAGACATCAAAGGGGCTTTAAAGTTAACCCACTTGCGGGTGGCTTTAAGTAACAGCATTTCCTTCTCGTAGCCCCAGAGCTCGTCAAACTGTAATTCTGAATTTCAGACTGCAAGCGAATTACTTTCGGCATCCGGCAAATTGATTGCCATCTGTGGGCCGTAACTCCTCCAGAGTTTCATGCAATTTTCATACAATGCACCCTTTTTTGGCCCCAAAAAGCAACTTTTCTTTTTTATTTTTTTTTTTGAGTATTTCCAGTGCATGCAAATATACGTGAACGTAAAAATTTCCATATAAACTGCTACTGCTGCTGCTACTGGTGCAGTTGCAGTTGCAACTCGCTCCACGGCAATTCAAGTGCAAATATGTTGGCATGCCGCACTTGAGTGTCAAGTTCCCGGCACATGAAACGCAATTGTTATGAATTGGCCAGGCTAGGCGACCCACCGCCCACAGCCAGCCTTGGCCAACAACAAATAGGCCAGCATAAATGCATACGTTGAAGGTGTTGGGGGGGAATGAGCCAACAGTATGCAAATGCAAATGGATAGATCAAACAGACGTCATCGCAGCTGAATGCTGATTGTTTGCCGGCATTTAAAAGCAAGTGCCCGAATTTATATTCCCAGTCGCCGAAAAACAAATTAAGTGTCTTAACCAAAGTGTATATAAAATGGTCTTAAATGTTGATAAGACTATGTTTTAGTTGGATATATATTTTCCAAACTTATATCATCATATGGCAACCTGTCTCATATCAATTGGTTAATGCGCCCTCTGATAGACTTCCTTTTGGTCATCCAATCTTCGGCATGTCGGCCACTTGTTTACTCCTTTCTTAGATGCTTTGTTGCCACCTTTGAGCCTTTTATTGTTTGCGACACTAGACAGATACTCTCCGAGAGTCCCGGCCAAAGCCCAGTCTCAGTCCGAATCTCTTGGGGGGCTAAGCCGAGCAGCAGGACAACAAGTGCAGCTGTCAGAAAGAAGTTTACCGGCCAAAGGCACTGGCTAAGAGGACCAGAAATAACAAATGTTGGGGCGAGGCACACACACAGACAGACGCAAACAAAAAAGGACATGGCACAGGGATAACTGCAACAGCTGGTTCCAGCTCCAGTTCTTGTTTTGCTGTTCCTAGTGCTGGATCACAGGATCCTGGCCACAGAAACGTTGATTGGCCAGCGCCGGAAAAAGAAGTTATAACCATCAAGGCGGAAACGGATGTGGCACAGACGTTTCCGCATTTCGCTCCAGTCAGCAGCACACACACGAAATTATACTTTTAGCCCCGGCGCGTCCGCCTCCCGGCGCACATGCATTTCGCACTCGAAAAGTGCTGCATACTTTCGGGGTGCCCCTGCCACACCTTCTGCGCCATATCCCTTTCTGTGGCACCACCGCACAATGCTTGTCAAATAAAATCATTTTGCATTGCAGAAATACAAATGGAAAAAGAAACTGTAGAACTGGAGAGGGAACTGTGGCAGGGGTTAGTAGTACACGAAGGCAACTGCGTTTAGCGGCTAACCGCAAGCACTTCTAATCAAAATATTAAAGAATTTCCTTATGGCTGCGTCTCTGCGGTTTCTCTGTGTTGCGAAATATTTAAATTCTGCAACTTCGGAGTTGCCTTCTAATTGAATGAGCCGGCCCCGAAGACTTTGTTGTGGCTTTCCCTCCCCCACATCGTTTGGGTTCTCGAACAGGATTCGGGAGGCGGCGCTGGTTGAGCCATAAAAATGGCAACACGTGCTCATAAAACTAGCATTACACGCCGCTTGTGGGGCATTCTCTTTAATAAACAACTTCCTTTGATTATTTCAGAGGAGGAAAAACCCGACCAGCTGCTAAATGGCGCAGAAAGTTCACAGGGTTAACTCTAGTATGGCTATACCTTCACGTCCAACACTGCGTATGCGCAATTATTTTTCTATCTATGTAGCTGAAAGTTGGCTCTTTGAATTCCCATCGTAAGCTTCATATATTTGCCAAAAAAAAAAGAAGGAAACTAATTGCAAGGGTTGGACGACCATAACCGATTTTCAGCACACACTTTATGGCTATATGGAAAGTTTAAATTGCTCTCCAAGCGAATCGCTCTGCCATACCCATTTAAAGCCACCCGTATTGGCGTGGGGG